GGATGGATGGATGGATGGATGGATGGATGGATGGATGGATGGATGGATGGATGGATGGATGGATGGATGTTATAAAATCTGAACTTCCACAAAGCATTCTTTTTCCAGGAAAAATAGTAGCAATGCTTTACCAGTGATGCATTAAATTGCCCAAACTAGGCTCAAATGTATACGGGAAACTTGAAACAATTCAGCTTTAAGATGTAAATTCTCCAGCTAACCTTAACCATCAATTTTAGACTTTTGAAATAACAAAAGATAATGCTGAGATGATATGAAGAGTTGCCCAAATATTGTGCACAAACGTCTGAACTGACTGGTAAGAAAAAGAATAAACAAGTCAGCTTGTGTGACGGTGATGGGCTGTTGTGCAGGACTGAGCTTTCCTTCATTCCACCCTGTGAAACGGATGTTGTCCTTTGGGCCATTTCCTTACGATACGCTTCCGAAGCTTTCCTGCCCCAGCTTGGTTCACACACGAAGGCTTGTGTGTATTCACAAGCAGGACAGAGAGTAAGCAGGAAAAACCAAGCCTTAGATGACATCATTGGCTAACGCGCAGCAAGCAGTCCTAATCATTTTAATTCCCATTTATGTTAGAAAAGAATTCTAAAGCAAGGCACGTATATGATGCAGGCCATTTTGCAAACTGCCTGTTCATTTACCATTTTTCTTGGTTTTAACTTTTGTTGTTTTTTTTCTTTAAAAGTTAAAAACTGACATTGAAGTAGACTTCAATTTCGTTAAGTGACCCCATCAGCAAAATTTCTAAAGTTACCTGGCACGCAGGAACATTCGTAGTCGGTTTCTCCCCTCGGGCTGCAGGTACCTCCATTCAGGCAGGGCGAGGGGTTGCATGGAAGGTAGCGGTTCTCGCAGTGCTTCCCTGTATACTCTGGAGGACACTGGCATCTGTAGCCCCCGACCTCATTGATGCATATCCCGTCATTTTTGCACCGTGGTGGGACGGCGTCACACTCGTTGACATCCTGTTTGCAGGTTTGTCCAAAGAAGAATGGGGTGCATCTGCAGATGAAGGTGGAATCAACTGGAGTGCAATCCCCGCCGTTGGCACAGGGATTGGAGGCGCATGGGTCGGCTGTTGCACAGTCTTTTCCTGAGAGCAAATAGGAGAGTATACAGAGTCTAAGCTGTGCAGAATTAGTACATAACAAGTTGAAAAAAACGAAAAAGCTCATGGCTTTTACCTGTCCACCCAGGTGGGCATCGGCACCTGTACCTCTGCGGACCGTCTGGCTCACAGGTACCTCCTTTGTGACACGGCGAGCTGAGACAAGCGATATTGATGGGTGTCATGCAGCGACGGTCGGTGTAGCCAATTCTGCAGGTGCAGTTGAAATCCACCGTGTTTCCCTTGGAGACGGCACGACATGTGCCTCCATTCATGCATGGCCCGTTGTTGCATGGGTCATGAAACTGGCACCTGCTCCCAACGTATCCATCTCGGCATCTGGACATAGCAGCATGTTTGGTCAGTGGCGAATATCGATGATATGATTTAAGTTGGTGTTTCTCTGTTTTAATTTTGACTCTCTTAATGGTGAAATATAGGCTTTGATCTGACTCAATTGAGAATATGCCTCCTTAAAACCTTTTTTGTATGTTGTAAAGCTAAGAGACATTAAGATATTAGAAATATCTGAAATTAGTTAAATGATGAAGATAATAAGCAACTGCTCAGGAGAACAAGAGTAAGCTTTACCACATTATTATCACTAACACAAATACCCCAAAACGTCAAACATTTTATATAGAAGGGGAGTGCCCACATATAAAGGGAGAGAGGAAGAATTCATGTTTGAAGCTCATAGATAAAGGAAAGCATTCTGAAAGTGCAACACACTCTAATGTAGGCAATAAAAGCTATTTGCTACCAGCCTTTGCTGTGATATCAAGAATAAATGTACAAAGAGGGATTTACTATGAGAGGAAAAATTCTATGTAAAATACACACTTGTTCCCCAAGCTGTATCAGTCACCCATTTTAAAAAGTCAAGATGACAAGGAGTGATATTTGTAGGACTGATCATTAGATATGCAAAAATCAATTAGCCAGTAAACATAATTGACCAACCATCCCTTGATTAGCTTTAACGAGCAATCAACCAGTTGTTTACTAAAGGCTCTGATCATGAGAAAATTAATGAGAAAATTAAGCTAAATAAGAGGCAACAGCTCTTTCGTGAAGTGTATTTTGGTTTTTGGTTTTTCATCCACTTTTGCAGGATTGTAAGCAAGAGGCAGGACACAAATCTGACATTTTTCTAAGAATCGGATCAATGTTCTTATTAGAAAATCACGTTTTGACTAATTTCCATTTGATCTTCCACTCCAAATTTGGAGTGTATTGTTTTATTACTGCATTCCGTCAGGCATGGTGCTATATGATCGAACCAACCAGAACCTAAAAATCAGGACAAACTTCACACATTATGCTATAAATGAGAGCAATCTTTCAACATTGCTTTATTTTCAGCTTGATAAAAAAAGAAAAACTTGATAAATATGTAAATTGTCATTCTGTATTGTTCTCATCAGCTTATACATTATCATAAGTCATTATTTATCTTTTTATTTACTTCTTTTACAACATGTATCTTTATTGGATATTAAAGTACTTATATTCCTTAATTATCTACCCCTACAAATTAATCTTGGTTCCCTTTTTTACCAGTCTACATAAATCAGTGGGATCTGGATAAATAGTAGTATGTGTTGCACCTGTATTGGTCTACATTTGAACAACTGACAAACATGAATTTCAAGAAAATCTAAAATCAGAGCCGAAATCAAATATAAGCTCATAGTGATAAACTAATAAGCTGAGTCTCTTAGTGAGTACTAATTGTCTATTGCATTTGAAAGGTTTGCAGCATAACTTAAGTCAGTCTGAGAGGGAGGAAATTATTGAATTGCAAAACATCTATCATACTCTTCATAGAAATAATCACCACTAGAAAAACATTTAATCAGCAGCTTGTGTAGGTCAGCAAATATCTAACCTTCCATTAATTGATTTTTCTCATAAAATTAGCGTAAAAAAAGGCTTGGTTGGATCAGAATGGCTTTCCATAGTCTTTATCCACCCAGTAAAGACTAATGCCTTGAACAAGCAAAGATCCCTCCACAGTGAGCAACTGTGCTTATAAATCAACCATTGGAGCAAAAAAGATCCTACCTCACAGCAACACTTCCATGAGAAAGTATGCTATAAAAGACACATCCATCTTTCTACCATCACCCCCAGTGAACAATGAGTTAGACCCTGTAAAACGGGGAGAGGTGGGGGGGACCAAACTCCTGTGATGTTTCTCAAAGGTTGTGTCTGAGTCATAAACATCACTTGGACCCCAGCGAACAAACGCCTGCAGACAGAGGAGCCAATCACAGAGGCACATTCACACATTTAAAAGTACAATGAGTGGAGCCGTGGTCCCCAGAGGATGCACACGGCTCAACAAAAGGGCCACACACCTAAAGTTGGAGTGAGCAGCATCATTAAAAGCAGCGGGATGATACACTGGGACTTTTCAAGGAATCTTATTTTTATTCAGGTGAGCAGTTGCAATAAAATGCAAATCTTACAACTTTTTAGAAACATCCCAAAGTTTGACAAAAGAACTGGAACACATTGCATTTTTAAAAAGGTAAATGATAACAGGTCTGTGAGTACACTGACATTGGACACCTTTACAGCCCCAATACTGCAGTCAGTATTTAGCAGTGGTTTTAACAAAACAGGCCTCCCAAGTCTTAATCCAAACAAACAAACTGCATCAAAAACATCTGCAATATTTCAGATCTTGTGCAAAATCTTTCTTCAAAAGAATCTTCAAAAACTGACATGGTAGAGAATCAGCCATCTTGGCACCACCGAGCATCTCAGGGATGAAATGTGCTCAGTCTGATCCTTTGTCAGCACTCATTCATCCTGAGGACAAGGCTGTGCAACAGAGTCTGAGCTATGAGCCAACATTATGGAGACTTCAAAGCACTACACCACCACCCCAGTGCTCTTATTCATTCCTGCCCCATGAGGATTTGCCCCAGCATCAGACAGGCAATGAAAGAAGTCTGTCAGTATTAAAGGAAATGTATCGAAATTTCTACTGACTTTTTCATATTAAAACACAATTTTTCTTTGAATAGTGTGTGAGTTCAGTCTCTCGCAGACACAATATCATGGAAAAAAACATCCTGTCTGAGCAACATTCCCACGACATCAAAACCCAAACCCTCTAACATACCTGACTAAAGCCAGCGAGGGTGTTAGCCCCCACAGGGCTAACACCCTCGCTGGGGCCACGTCCCCAAACATTCCCAGAGAGACCAGCACCTTTGTGTGTGTGTGGGGACCGAGCTGTGGCCCCTCTGAGGGGACAGTTGTGTGTTTACACAGCGTCCCCCTCTCAGGGGATTATATAGCCTTCGGACTATGACAAGGAAAAGAAAACATCACATGCTTGGCTCCCTGCAACCTAAACAGTAGCGGCCAGTGGTGGCATTTCAACGTGCAGAAATGGAGAAGCAGGACATTGTCTGACAATTGCTGATTGACTTAAACGAGGAGATCAAAGACAAGTCAAATGTCACCAAAGCAGCAAAAAACGTTGGTTACATCCATTGGAAGCTGACAAATGTAGGTGTTAAAACTGCCTAGGTGTTGTAATACTTACCCCATAACAGTGGTGTGGTGAAGACAAGAGGCATCTGTGTGGTCAGATGACAATGCAGCAAAACATTTAAGAGTAAAAACCACAATAAACTGAATAGCTTCTGAAACAAAGATTCCAAAACACAAAGGTAACTCTAAAGTCTACCATTGTTGTTTATGTTAGGGCATCTGTGATTAGGGCTGCAAAGTCTATGTTGGCTTGCATGCTCAAACATGCTAGTTTGTAGCCACTCATGGGGATAGTGGTGTTGTAGCCAAGACCACACCAACCGAGACCGAGTACCAAGACAATGCCGAGACCGTTAGAGGCCAAGATCAAGACTCGGTCTCTGGCTCTAAATGTCTTAGTCACTGCCTCTAAAGGTCCTGGTCTTGGCCTTTAAACGTCTTGGTCTTGTCGCTGTCTCCGTACATCTCTGTCTTGGTTACTACAATACTAGACTAGTGGAAGGGGTGTCAAAACGGAAGCACCTTTGGGATGAGGCTTTAAAGATTTTTCCTTAGCATTTTCCTTCGCACAGGGAAAGAACATTCCTTCGCACAGGGAAAGGACATTCAATGCATTTCAGTAAGTCTCTACCTCAAGTGGAGACATTTAGGTATCATGGCGTGTTATTATTGTTCCATCTTACCAACAGTTATGTTGGTATAATGGAGCAAGAGACAGACAGATAGATTTAGGCCTTATCTGCAGCAATATGGGAGCTGTTCCAGAGCTAAGACAAAAAGCATCAGTTTGTCTGTCTTCAGCCAAAACCTCTAATATAGTAAGAGAGATATGGATCCTGACTAAAGGAACAACAACCCTGATTAAAATAGGACAGAATTTATCTCACTTGGTGGGTAGTAGCACTTGACCTTAGAGGAAGGAGCTCTAAAATTGTTTGACACTCATATGGTTCAAGTACCAATGGAGCATTGTTTTAAGTAGACAACAACATTTTGTATTGTTGCTAACTGCAGTATACCCATCTACTGGCCTCACACAGATGAATCGGAAGTCATCAAATCTGCAACTGTGATGCTGTTATGTAGGGTGACCAAACGTCCATATTTCCTGGGACATATCCGTATTTCACGTCCTGTCCCGGGCGTCCCGGGTTTTTTTTAGAAAGTGAGGAAATGTCCTGATTTCACTGCGCACGACGCTGCGTGTGACGTAATCCCTGAGCCGCGTCAGTGCGGGCAGCCCTGTTCTTAATCGGAGGCTCTTGCTCTGTTCGAAAACCTGGGCTGCATCCTCCAAGGACGTGGTCTACCTAGACTGGTTTTCCCAAATGAAAATATGGTCACCCTACTGTTATGTAAAGATGGATGTAAATCTCGAAATTTCGGACATTGTTGTATCTTTATCAAAAATAATTGAGAAAAGTCCTGAAGGGAAAAGGTGGTAAATCCTAGAACTAGCTAAGTTTTCCTGAAAAAGTGTCATGCAATTGTTTTTATTGTGCAATCTGCCTTTGATTATACAAACTGTATTATCATCAGATAGATGTCTGAGCAAAATAGTCCAATGATCACAAAATCAAATTTCCCACGGTCCAACAGTAATGACAAGTTGGTTGAATATTCTAAGAGATACTGATCTTCCAGGATGTTTATGATCTGTCAGTATAGGGGGGATCAGAAAGTTTAAAGAACCTTAGACAATCTCAGATACAATCTTTACAATTTTACATCAGAAACATGTCAAATTCTTTCACATATTCAGTTTCATTAAAAAAGTTGCTGCATCTTTGCTACATAGGGAAGGGAAGGGGTTGCTCTGTTTCTAG